TCTGGTGTGGTTTGCTTCTTCTTTTCTATCAAACATCTATCGTCCTTATCTTATTCTCTCCTTCATCTTTTTATATTTGTTACTCTCTTGTAACAGCTCTAATCTTCTGGCGCTCATATGACCTTATGCAGTTGCGAGCGCCGTAAAATCTCTATTAAAACTAAAATTGAACTTTGGTTTGTTTTGGGAAAATGCAAAACACGCACACAACACAAAGACGCCATTGCTTACTTCTTGAACTGCTTCTCTTAGCTTCAGAACGGCTGGAAGTGGAGCTTCTGCCCGAGCTGATGCTTTTCTGTGAACAAATCACAAGATGCAGGGGTCGGTGTCAACAGATTACGTGATACAGGGGTCAGTACAATAACTAATACAGTTACCATTACTCACAATCATAATAAATATTGTGACTTACTTTAAATACTTTCATTTTTTTTAAAAAGCAGTATAGCAGTATACTGCAATTAGCGTTTTTTTTGTCGTTGTGTATCTTGTGTTGTGCCTTTATTCGCTTGTTTGTCTGTTCACTTGTTGGCTAAGCGCTTTAATATCTGTCTGTCTGTCTGTCTGTCTGTCTGTCTGTCTGTCTGTCTGTCTGTCTGTCTGTCAGTTCGTCTGTCTGTCTGTCTGAAAATTTTTTTTCCCTTCTATTTCATCTTGAGACCGATATCAGCTTTGACAAACAAAGCACACACGGGTCCTTTAAAGTCATTTCCCCCCTCATATCAGTCTGTTAGGGTGTTATTGTAAATCGATTTTACTTTCAGAAAACAGTCATATGTATGCAATGATTATAATGATATAAAAATCTTAAGACAGTTACATCCTGACATTGATTTTGGCCTAGCAGAGCACAATTCCAAGGTTTGTGGAAAATTCTTCCCCCCAAAAAAATTGTGTTTGAAGCCATGCAAAGATTAAACTAACTAACAATTATTATTTTAAGGCCGACAAGCTCACCAATTTAAGTTTAAGAAAGGGGAAACGTGCTGCTTTGGCGAGTTGTGGCGCTTGTGACGATCACAGGAGCTGCTTGTCAATATTTTCTTATCTCTTCACTTTTTAACAAACTGGCTATCCTAATGTTAGCTGCTTCACCGTCGAATGCACAAGACCAAAGTTCGACTTCAGAGAGAGAAGAATTTCTTTTCTAGTATCTCGGCCTCTCCACAAGGATATAGAATTCCTCTAAGCCAGGATTATTCCTATTGTGCCAAGCAGGGTAGAAACCTACCTCGTAAATGACGTAAATTGTGTTGAAAGGGAAGCAAAACACTTACATTTAAAGAAAAAAAATGATAGAGAAATGCGAGGTGAGTATCAAACCTTTGAACTTTGTCCCGAGAGTGAGGCGTCCAAGTCAGTGGTGGATCGTTTTGAACCCTTGATCTTGGCCATAAACGACTTGATCTTCTTGACCATAGCACCTTTGCTCTGCTTTAAAAACAAATAAATAAACCGGTGCACTTGTTGAAATTGTATAGTCGTTGCTTTTTAATGGAAACTGTTTTACATTCCCATTGAACACAATGATGATAGCTTGAGTGGTGTACTGCTTCTACTTCGTCTCACCCTGGGCGAGGCTAGATTCTACGAGAACTCAGAAGAAGAAGATAATGCTCGAGAAGAAGAAGAAGAAGAAGAAGAAGAAGAAGAAGAAGAAGAAGAAGAAGAAGAAGAAGAAGAAAAAGAAGAAGAAGAAGAAGAAGAA